AGGAATGGGGAAAAAATAAGAACCAAGATGCATCATGTAAAGGTACAGTTCCCAATGAGAAATGTAATTGTGTTGTATACCTACAATGTACCAATAAAAGAATTTAACAAAGCAAAACAAATCTATGGGGAAATATAAAAGGGCCCAAAACAGCCAAACAATTAGGAAAAACAAAATCAGAATTGGAGAATTTATATTATTTGATTTCAAGGTTTGGTACTGGGGATCGAACTCAGGACCTTGCACTTTCGGGGCAGGTGCCGGAACCACTGAGCTGAATCCCCAGCTTGATTTCAAGATTTAATTAACAGCCACATGGATGGAGACAGGCTGCCGTGTGAGACGGAGGAAAGGAAGGGAGCAGAGGGCAGAAACGGACCCACACGCCCTGCACAGCCCACACCACAGTCTGGGGGCTGAGGCGACCCGCAGGCCAAGGGCAGGTGGACTGGACCTTGAAGAAACGCACGGCGCAGCCTTCAGCACTGCTGGGAGGGAAAGCAAGGAGCCGAGCTGTTGATGCGGAGAACTTTGCCACAGAAGTGCGACAAAGGATAGTGTGCAGAGTACTTGAAGGCCACTCGCACCTTAACAGGAGCTCAGGCAGCCTGATTCAAGAACGATGGGCAGAGGTGCGGGTGGACACTGAAGAAGACGCAAGCAGCTGACCAGCCCGCGAGAAGCGGCCCCACATGCTCACTGCTTCAGCGCAGCCGGAGGGTCGCAGCCGGGTGTGGACCAGGGTGCCACAAACTGCGGGTCCCAGCCACAGCTCATGGGGACAGGAAGCAGCACAGGAATTTGGAAACCACTTAGGATTAGTTACTGAGTTAAACTCGCCTAGACCCTGACCCCGCAGTGCCGCCCCGTGGTGTCTGTCCCAGAGAAGTGAAAACATCAGCTCGCACAAAATCCTGAGTGCAGGCATTCACAGCTCTCCGCTCATCAGACCCGCTGGGGAAATACAGCCAGAAGGAAAGGGCCACATTGTGTCCCCAGAGAAAAGGCAGAGCAGGCACTGTCGGGGGCCCAGGTGTGTGGAGACGGAGGGAGCTGGCAGGGAAGGGACCCGAAGAACGGAGGCAGGGTGACCTGTGTCATTGCTCGGCAGGTGGAGGCGCAGGACGCACACCACCTTCACGCCTCAGCCAAGCGGAGGGTCAATGGGGGCCTCAGTTACACGCGGCTGGGACCTTGACAGAGGCAACTGTAAACTGAAGTGGGAGGTGGAGCCAGGACAGGGTGAGGCAGCCTGGAAAGCGGGTTGAGGAGGCCCTGGGGCGCGGGGCAGGCAGGCACCAGCAGGGTGGCAGGGCTCCCTGTGTGCTTCCGGCATGGACACAGTGTTCTCCTGTCACGGGGCCTGCAGAACCTGGCCAGGTGGGTCTGTAAGACACTTCAGGAAGCCCAGGCACGGACCCAGCAGGACCAAGCACCCCCAGACACGGAGTCTTAGAGTGACCTGGGGAGTGAGCCACCGTCCCTCCTGACTTCTCAGCAAAGTCCCCTGCGCCTAGGAATGTCCATAGCTGCAGGAGACCCAGGTCCACCCAGACCCTGTGTCCCCAAGAGGAGGAGAGACAGAGAATCAGGAGAGGTAGGGTTTATTGGTGCTGAGAGGTGGTGACAGAGTGAGATTCAGGGCAGGTGACAGCAGAGGACCTGGGAGGAGAGGTCAGGCCAGCACAGTGGATATGGAGGGGGCTGTCCTCAGGGAGGGGACAGCCTGGTAACCTAGGTCAGGACCAGGCTAAGGGGTACATGAGAGGCCTGGCCTGGGGGTGACCTGAGATCGCTGGCCCTGGGGGATGAGCCAGTCAGCAGCAGGACTTCTGGTCCAGGGAGAGGCCTCAGCAGTCCGGGCGGGGGCAGGCGGGGCAGCAGAGCAGGGACACGGAGGAGGAGGGCTTGCAGCAGACAGGCTTGCAGCAGACAGTCACGCAGCAGGATGGTTGGCAGGGGGGGCAGGAGCAGCAAGCCGGCTGGCAGCCAGACTGCTGGCAGCAGGAGGAGGAGGCCCCGGAGCAGACAGGTGTGCAGCAGATGGGGGTGCAGCAGATGGGGGTGCAGCAGACAGGCTTGCAGCAGACAGGCTTGCAGCAGAGAGACTCACAGCAGGACGGCTGGCAGGACGAGGAGCAGCAAGCCGGCTGGCAGCACGGGCTGGACTCGCAGCTCACTGGGGTGCAGATGAGGCCCAGGCCAGGGCCCAGGGCACAGCAGCTGGGCTGGCAGCAGCTGGGGGCACAGCAGGGGGGCTCGCAGCAGCTCTCTGGGCAGTCGTCCACCTGCCAGGGCCTGGTACAAGCGCTGGAGCAGACGGACATGGTGGAGGCGGCCATGGCGGGGCTGGGCTGGGGAGGTGAGTGAGTGTGAGTTTGTGTGAGTGAGTGAGGTGTGTGTGAAATGCTGAGCTCTGGGCTTTTATACTCAGCCTGGCTCTGTTCCCGCAGGCAGCATGCTGGCTTCCTTCCTTGTTTTGGTGTGAATCTGAGAGCTCTTATTATGCCAGCTGTTTATTGCTGCCATGTTTGGTTCTGAGTGTTGCACATGCTGTCAGTTTCCTGAGCACCTTGGGGTCCATAGCTGCGCCTCTCTCTAGGCTGTGACATGATGTATGCTGTGTCTACAATATCCAGGGGACTCTGCTCTGTGTGTAGAATAAAACGCATGAGAACAGTGACACTGCGGGGTGGGGGATGTGTGGTGCAGGAGTTTCCTGTGTACCTTGTGCTTTGTTGGAAGTGACAGCAGCAGAGTGTATGCTGAACTTGAGCTCATGCATGGATCTCCAGGACAACCACAGAGGGAACAGCAAGGCCAGTTGCCAGTAATTAGATTTAAAGAATCAAGCATTCCAGTGGAAAGGTATAGAGTATCAATCTGGATAAAAATAGGACTACGCACTGCTTGGAACAGACAGGTCCTACATATGCTGGACAGAAAGGGTGGCAGAGGCAAGATAGGCAATGCAGCTTTGCAGTGACTGCATTTAACTGAACAGCTGGGGCGACTTAGAGACGTGAGGGAAAGTAGATTTCAGAAGGAAGCAGTGAGAGATGCCATTTCTCGAAGTTAGAAAGACCTGGCCGCCGGGCAGGTGTGGCGGCTCTAACTTCACAGGCACCAAGTAAGAGTGGAGGACATACAAGGAGAACTTGGCAGAGCTAAAGTGGAAGGGGGCACGGTGAAGTTCTGGTGGATAGAAATGGGGATGGATCTGATAGAGTGGAAAAGACTGTGTTGAGTCTGGAGTAAAACACGGAAAGCATAAAACACCAACAGGCAAGCCGAATCACGCGAAAGGGGAAAACATCACAAACAGCCCAAAAGACAACACAATAGGAAACACATTTGCTGCTTTACCTCGTCCTTAAAGACGGAACATAAATTCCGACAGTGTAGGGCTGGGGATTTAGCTCAGCGGCATTGCTCCTGCTCAAGGTCCTGAGTTTGATCCCCGGTACCAAAAAAAAGAAAAAATTCTGACTGTGTAACAGAAGCCGAGCGGAGGATGCAGAGAGAGGAAACAGAGATGGGCAGTTCTGGAGCAGGCAGACAGGCTCCACCCCTCTGGGTGAGAGGAGACGATGGGCCCACTGTGCCACACATCACTCCAGAAAGGCCGGACGCACTGCTGCTGCACACGCATTGGCAGGGGCCCCTCCGCAGCAGGGGGTGGGGTTCACACGCACCCGGGAGGCATTCTCTTGGGCACCTCGGACCTTCACTGGCCATGCAGGTGCCACCCTGTTGCCACTGCTGGCTGCAGATGGTCCTGCAGATCTGCACCTCAGGCTGCTCCGTCTTAAAGTTCAAAGCCTCCTACCCTGAGTCGCTCATGAAGAATTCCTGCTGAGCTTCCTCAGGCACCCGGTACAAGGCAGGGGCACTGTCCACTGCACAGTGACAGACTGTGGGAGAGGGACTCCAGTGTGGCACCCTGGGAGCATGGTGGGGCCGTGATGTGCTCATGGCATGAGGAACACATCGGGGTGGATGACGTGGTGCGGGATCCCCATCTGGGGAGGACTCCCCCTGGGTTGGTGAGGACACACACAGTGGGTGTCCTCAGGAGGGGCTACCTGGGAGGACATGGGGCAGTCTCCTGTCAGCAACCATGAGAAACTGAGGCACACAGTCTGGCAGCCTGCAGGGAGCCGTGAGGTTTCCCCAGTGGGACCTTCAGAGCAGGCCCGCAGAGCCGGGAGGGGACTCGTGGGCGACAGGAGAGGAACAGGCAGACCAATCCCGAGTGTTCAGCAGCCAGGAACAGGAGAGAGGTCCTCACCTGGTCACAGGACAGGAGCTCCTGTTCCATTAGGTTTAAAATAAATGAAGCAGGCAGAGTATGAATATTCATGTTTTAGAAATTTATATACACAGGAGAGAAAAATGGCAGAGCAGGGATCAGCAGCAGAATACAGCCTCTACAGGACCCAAAATCCAGACACCTGGAAAAGAGCAACTTGATGAAGAGAAAAAAACAAGTGGATCTCCCTCCAGGAATTGGGAGGGATCTGACAGGAAAACTAGAAAGTACAGAGAAGCAGGAGAGATGGAGCAGAATGCGGAGAAGAGGAAGAAGCAGTCTAGAAAGCTTGCCCTGGCTCCTGGAGGGGCCCTGGGTCTGCAGACACAAGGTGAGCCCAGAGAGGGTTCCGTGCAAGGGAAAAACAACACACTGGGCCAGCAGCACTTGCCTCAAGAAAGGCCCATAGTCATTGTAAACTGCAAAAGCAGTGTGTGGCTTTACTGTGAAAGTGACCTCTTCCACACGGCCGGTGAGATTCGGAGAAGAAACCCAGGGCAGCACCCGCCATATGTGGGAGGGCGGTTTAATCGGGAGCCATTTGGGGAAGGGGTTAATTGTTTAAGTCTGAGCCACACAATGACTTCAGTTCCAGGTTTCCTGGGTCACCCTACCACAGAGACAGGGTGGAAGATGGCCACAGGAGACAGCTGTGGAGAGGGTACAGGCTAGACATAGATCCCCTGAGAAGGTTAAGCTCAGGCTGGGAAGGACTCACGCCCCACCTTCCGTGGTGAAAAGTCAGGTCTAGTGTGTGTGGCTTTCAGGGCACTAAATCCAGCAGCCGACTTGAACTACGGTCCCGCTGCCTTTATCAATCACAGATGGCAGTGGTCTGACTGCTTTCCCCATCTGCAAACATGAGTGAGGATGTGCCCCGGGTAGAAGGGTTGGCGCAGCCTGAGATGTACGGACAGAGGGGCCTCTGGAGGGGCCAGAGCGCCTCACACACTGACAGGTCAGAAAGACAGGTGGAGAAAACTGTGACTTGCTGGATTTCAAGACTGAAGATCCTGGAATGAAACTACTCATAAAAAATACAGATGTATTTTTACTGGGGATGTAGCTCAGTGGTGCTGTGCCTGCCTGGAAAGTGCAAGATCCTGAGTTTGATCCCCAATACTGAAAAAAACACAAAGGAATTTTGTTCCAGACTCATCCCTTTTCTTTTTTTTTCTCATTCCTTTTCTTTCTTGTTCTTCGTCAGTTATTTTGGAGTTTGGGGTTATTTCATTGTTCTCTTTTCTTTCTTTCTTTTTTTTTTTTTGGTACCAGGGATCGAATTCGAGACCTTGTGCTTGCAAGGCAGGCGCCGGAACAACTGAGCTAAATCCCCGGCCCAATTTCATTGTTTCTTCTTTGTTTTTCCTTTTCTTTTTCTGGTCTGTTCTTTTCTGTTATTTTTATCTAATTCTATTAATTTCATTTTACTCCCTAATATGATTCTTTATCTCACTTTTCTCTTCTCACTTCCCTTTCTTTAATTTTCAAAAGTCTCAAATTTTACTTCTTTCATTCTGCTGTTCCCCACTCCTTCCGTCTTTACTTGTGTTAATCTTTAGATGTTTAGTTAACTCTATGCTCTTATTGTTGATTCTCTTCTATTGATAATGATGGTATAGTTGTTGCATTTAGTAGATATTTACTACATGTCAGTATTTGGCTTGTCTTTGTGTTTATATTATTATTATCTCTTTCCGACCAAGAGTGGTACAGAGGCAGCTTTTATTAGCTCTTTTTTTCTTTTTTGGTACCAGGGATCGAACTCAGGACCTTGTGCTTGCCAGGCAGGCGTGGTGCCACTGGGCCACATCCCCAGCCCTATCAGCTCTTATGGTATGTCAATACCCGGTTTGTCTTTGACTCTATTATTGTTGATGATTTTGTTGCTATTGCCATGGTGGCATAGTTATTGCTATTAATATTTTTTGGCCAGTTAATTGGTTTTTGCCAATATTTGCTTTATTTTTGTGTCATCAACAATACTTTGGTTCATTTCTGTGTATCAGAAAGGAAGATGTCAACTTATCATTATTTGCAGGTGACATGATCCTCTACATAGAAGACCCAAACATTCCAAAAAAAGATTCTTAAATTAATAAGCAAATTCAGCAGTTTGGCAGGATACAAAACTCACAGAAAGAAAGCAATAGCATATCTGAACACCAATAATGAATTTACTAAGAAAAAAATTAGGAAAACTATACCATTTACAATATCATCAAGAAAAATTCATTATTTAAGAATTAACCTAAGCAAGGAAGCAAAAGGTCTGTACAGTGACAACTGTAGTATTTGGAAAGAGGAGATCAAATTGATATCAGAAAATGGAAAGATAGCCCTGCTCCTGGATAGGTAGAATCAATTTTGCCAAAATGGTCAGGCTGCCAAATTTGATATCCAGATTTCACACACAGTCTTAAGGAAAACACCAACAGTATTCCTCACAGAACTAGAGAAAACAATCCTAAAATTCATATGGAACCAGAAGAGACCCAGAATAGCAAAAATAGCCCTAGAAAACAATAACAAAGCAGGAGGCATCACAATCCCAGATTTCAAACTATATTACAAAGTTACAGTGATAAAAACATCATGGCATTGGCAGAAAAAGAGGCATGAGGATCACAGGATCAGAATAGAAAAAGCAGATACAATCCCAGGCATATTCGGCCATCTGATCTTTGACAAAGGGGCCAAAACCAGACACTGGACAGAAAGATAGCCTCTTTAATAAACGATGTTGTAAAAACTGGCTATCCACGTGCAGAAGATTGAATTAGAAGATTTACCAAACTAAAATCAAAATGAATCAAAGATCTAAACGTTAAAACAGAAACACTTAATCTGCTGGCAGATAAAATAGGTAAAACTCTTGAAGACGTAGGTGTAGGCAAGGACTTTTTGAACAGAAATCCAATTTCACAGCAAATAGCACCATGAATCAGCAAATGGGATCAAATCAAATTAAAAAGCTCCTGCACGGTTAAGGCAATAAAAAACAGAGGGAAAAGACAGCCTACAGAATGAGAAAGAATGTTTGCTAGCTATTCCTCAGATAGAGGACTAATATCTACAATATATAAAGAACTCAAAAAATGAGACCTTTCAAAATAAAGACACAATGAAAAACTGGGCTACTGAAATAAACACTGACATCTCAGAAGAAGTACAAATGGCCAATACATACATGGAAAAACATTCAACATCACTAAGCATTAGGAAAATGCAAATTAAAATGACACCGAGATTCTATCTTACTCCAGGAAAAATGGCCATTATCAAGAAATCAACAAATGCTGTCAAAGCTATGGGGATAAAGGAACACTTCTACCTTGTTGGTGGGAATGTAAACTCATACAACAAGTATGGAAATCAGTATGGAGATTCCTCAAAAAAGTAAAACTAGAAATTCCATTGGACCCAGATGTTCTTCTTTAAGGTATCTTCCTGAAAGAGTTAAACACATCGTATTACAGTGATCCATGCACACCCATCTTGATAGCAGCACAACTCATAATAACTAAATCTCGGAAGCAGCCTATATGCCCATCAACAGATGAATGGATAAGGAAAATGTGGTATTTACACACCATGGAGTACTACTCCAGCATAAAAAGGATAAACTTGAGTCATTTGTAAGAAAATGGATGCACCTTGAGATCATCAAGTTAAGTGAAAAAAATCAGACACACAAGTTTAAATATCTCATGGTTTATCTTATGTGAGAAACTCAAAGTATAAGTAAATTAAAGAGCTAAATAAAAGGTACATAAAAATAAACAGGGAGATGGATCTTTTGCTAAAAGGAAAGGGAGGAAGATATGGAGGGGGGAGAGAGAGGTATGCAGAATAATTAAAACGTGTCATGTACATGTACCAACTCCCCACAAGGAAGGCAATCATTACATTCGTCAGATATGTAGCAATAAAAATAAACACTACTAAAGGAAATGAGTTTCCTGAGGCTCTTTTCCGGTTGAGCCTGGGATGCACAGGGCACCCTTGGGATGAAGGCATATTCTGCTGTGCTCGGAATGGGTGCCATCACAGGTCCTGCTGCTCAGGCCTTCTGCATCCTTGTTGGTCCAGTTGATCCATCAATGTTGTGAATAAGGTATTAAAATATGCAATTAAAAAATTTAAAACCACACAGAGAGACATATAGGTGCACACACACACGTGTCACATGTGTTCATTGATACCCAGAGCATGGGTGGGTGGATAGATGACAGGTATTCACAGAGAGATGAGAGAGGTGGAGGTGGTGATAGGTAGGTGGCAGGTAGATGGCAGAAAGACGATAAACGCCAGGCGGAGAGGTCACATACATACACGATACGTGGACAGAGGCAGATGAAGGCACGCAGCTGACAGGCTGATAGATGAGGACAAGTAGATGGTAGTGGGAGCTGATCGATGGCAAACAGATGACAGATGTAGACCTAGGTGACAGTGGGGTACATGGATGGACGGACAGATGGACAGACAGGACGGACAGACAGTGGACACAGTCCACTCTCCCCATGTGTGGATTCTGCGCCTGTGGCACAGTCCTGCTGCCCCAAGCACAAGGACAGGGGACAGAGGGCGAGGTGCTGAGGGGAGGAGAAGCCGGGCAGAACCTGGGCAGGGCTCCGAGTGTGGTCACAGACTCTGCATAGCCATGTGGCCTCAGACTCTGGATTCTCCTCACCAGGTGACAAATGTCTTGTGATCCGGGTCAGGGTGGGGGTGTTGGGTGAAGGGTCAGGGCCAAGGACAACACTTCCCCAGAGCTGACTTCCTGCAGAGGGAGCAAAGGTCTTGGGGCTGTTTGGCCAGTGGTGGACAATGTTCCAGAGCCTCGTGGACAAGGGAGGCACATCGCACCACGTGACACCCCAGCCCTCCCCACTCCCAGACCTGGATGAGCCCTGGCCAGCCCCATGCCTGCTCATGGACAGTCGCAGAGGAGATTAATGAGCCGGATGCACTGAAAACAAACATCCCCGATGACAGCAGGAGCTGGGTCACCAACAAGGAAGGGCAGGCTGGGACACAGGGCCAGGGATGGAGATAAAAGCCCAGAGCCCAGCGCCTCACACATTCACACTCACTCACACTCACTCACACTCACACACTCACCTCCCCAGCCCAGCCCCGCCATGGCCGCCTCCACCATGTCCATCTGCTCCAGCGCTTGCACCGAGCCCTGGCAGGTGGACGACTGCCCAGAGAGCTGCTGTGAGCCCCCCTGCTGTGCCCCCAGCTGCTGCCAGCCCAGCTGCTGCACCCCGGGCCCCTGCCTGAGCCTCATCTGCACCCCAGTGAGCTGCGAGTCCAGCCCTGCTTGCTGCTCCTCCTCCTGCCAGCCGTCCTGCTGTGAGTCTCTCTGCTGCAAGCCTGTCTGCTGCACACCTGTCTGCTGCACACCTGTCTGCTGCACCCCCGTCTGCACTGGATCCTCCTCTTCCTGTTGCCAGCAATCTGGCTGCCAGCCGGCTTGCTGCTCATCCTGCCAGCCATCCTGCTGTGAGTCCATTTGCTGCACACCCATCTGTTGCAAGCCTGTCTGCTGCACCCCCATCTGCTCCGGGGCCTCCTCCTCCTGCTGCCAGCAGTCTGGCTGCCAGCCAGCTTGCTGCTCCTGCTCCCCCTGCCAGCCGTCCTGCTGCGTGCCCTTCTGCTGCAAGCCCGTCTGCTGCACGCCCTCCTCCTCCATGTCCCTGCTCTGCCGCCCCGTGTGCAGACCCGCCTGCTGTGTGCCCACCTCCTCCTGCTGCACCTCCTCCTGCCAGCCCAGCTGCTGCAAGCCCTCCTCCTCCCTGTCCCTGCTCTGCTGCCCCGCCTGCCCCCGCCAGGCCTGCTGTGCCCCCTCCCTGGGCCAGAAGTCCTGCTGCTGATTGGCCTTGTCACCCAGGGCTTGGTGGCTCCCGGACGGCTCCCAGGTCCTCTGAGGTGAAGCCTCACAAACCCTGCTCTGCATCCTGGCTGGGCAGTGGTCACTGAGTCCTCCCCACAGAGCAACCTGGCGTCCACACTTGAAGTCAGCACTGTGCCCTCGCCCAGCCCCTTTGCACACATGGCAAACCATGCAGAGCTCTGACGTGGCAGGGCCATCGCTCTGGGACCCTGGCCTTGAGTTACAGGGTGACCGTGCCGCAGACAGGGCCAGCCGACCCCTCCCACGTGCCCGGCTGCCTTGTGGTAGGTGTCCCTGCCAGCCCCCAGCACAGGGAATCTGTCTGCCATGGAGACTCGCAGGGACAGCAGGGCACCTACCCAGGCCTTGGCACGGAGCCCGCTGCCCTGCCCCTGCTCTCTGTGTGCCCCAGGTCCTCTGTGTGCCTGGCTCCGAGAGTCCCCGCACCCCAGCCAGCTCTCCTGCGCCCCTAGCTCCTCCCTCTGTCCTCTCTGCCCCCTGCCCAGCATCCCAACAGAATAAATATTCTCATTCCTGGAAGACACTGCCAAGCGCTCTGCTGATTCTTGACTCTCTGAGGACATTTGCTCTGTGACCTCCGTGTGGGAATTTCCACACCCGAAGTCTGCAAGTCACATTTTCGTTTTCTGCAGTTGCATTCTTGCTCCTGGGCTTATTTCCTTGTGTGATTAGTTATATTCGGCTCAGGAATTGTTCTTGGCCCATGAGTGGTCAGCATACTGGTGCTCCACCTTCATTTCCGACCTCTGCCGCTGGCAACCCTATTCAATGCCACGAGAGTGCCAGCCCCACAGGTGTCCTTTGGGACAAAGTGACTTCTGGTTTTGCTCAAGGATCCCGTTCTGAACAAAGTCTTTAGCTCAAGGACCAGAACTCGGTAGAAGGAGGAGGTTACCCCTTTATTTGCACCAACTCTCACCAAAATCCAGCCCTAGGCTGTCCCTGCCGCCCGAGGCTTAGTCACAGACAGGTGGGACACATGGGTACCGTTTCAGTTACCATCTTTCCTCAGGCCACATCCGCATACATAATGGAAATGGAGAGCTTTGTGGTGGGCAGTTGGTAATGTACATACACAGCTCAACTCTTTTTAGGCCCCTTTCCCTGCCCCTCCACCTCTTCTACCTCCGTGGCAAGCCTACCCACCCAGTGCCCTTCTGCTCGGGCTGGCCCCTGACCAGCCCCTCAGCTTGCCAGCCCTACCCCTGTCCCCCTTAGTGGGCAGCTGAGCCTCGTCAGCTCCTCCCTGCTCCTGGCCCATGCTGTGTCTCTGTTGATCCATGAGCAATAAAGCCTCTGCTGCCCACGCCATCTCTCTGTGTTGGTGGCACTGCGGGTGGAAGGGGCAGAGGCCTGGGCCTGGCTCTGGGCGCTGGCCCTTGGGCCCTCAGGCATCTGCATGTGACCTGGAAGCCCCGTCCCCTCATTCTGTGTCTGCTGCCCACCCCTGGCCAGCTCTGATGGTCTGCAGAGGCCCAGGGTACATCCTGTTGGAGCCACACGGCTCTGACCTGCACCCACTCCCTGCAGATGATGCCACTCTGCCCAGCGCTCACCTGACCACAGCTGAGCTGGAGGTGGGACGCTAGCCTTAGCCTACCCAGGGCCCAAGGGTGCCCCTCAACACAGGATGGGCATTCTGGACTGTGGTCCACGCACCCAGGCACACCCCACACCCAGCACACACATGACAAAGATACAGCTTTGGAGCCCCTGCCCACAGGCTGGGTGAAGCTGGGGGGTGGTAGCAGAAGCCCAGAATGGTGAGAGAACAGGCCCATGGGACTGGGGGCTCTTGAGCATGTGTGTCCAGGTGTGGCCAGGCGGTGTGGTACCCCCACAAACGTGTGACTCTGAGGGCTCTGTCCCTAACTACAGGGGCAGAGCAAAGGCCACAGCCATGTGACAGTCAGTGCACTGACCACAAGGGGTCCCGAGTGTGCTTCGTGACAGGGGGGCATCACAGCACATCCAACACGGACCTTGCAGTGTCCTCTCCTTGCCGTCTGAGCAGGGCACATGCCTCACTGCAGTCACCTTTGCCGAGGTCATAGCTCTCCACGTGACCTGGGCAACACTGGGGGACAGCATGGAAAGCTCTTTTGACTGTTACAGGTGACTCCATGGGGACTGTCCCCACTGTTAGGGTCGATCCCTAGATGTCACCCCAAGCCTCGAGTGCTCATAAGCAGGGCTTTTGGAAGGTGCATTATGGGGCGCATAGCTGACTTGCTGTGAGGAGGTGGGGTCTGGTCAGAGACTGGGGCACCATGAGGTGACCCCCGCCAGGCCCCTCTGCCATGCTGCCCTGCCCTGGAGTTAGACAACTATGGAGCAAACGAAACCTCTACAAACTGTGAGCTAAATAACCCTCCTCTTTCAAGCTGTGGGTGTTGGGTTTCATGTGTCAGTGACCAGAAAGTAACTAGGACAGAATTTGGTACTGGACAAGTGGGGTTGTGGCTGTGACAGCACCTGACCATATGGTTCAGAAGCTTTTGGAACTGGTTCATGAGAGGAGTTTGGAAAGGTTTGAAGCTGCCTCCTGGAGACGTCCTAGAATGCTATAAGCTGAGATGAGAGATTCTGGTCAGACCTCAGAAGACCAGAATGCTGATAGAAATGTAGGCAGTAAAGACCAGGCTCAGGAGGTTTCAGTTGGGAACAAGGCCTGCATTGGTTGCTGGACTCATGACCATGTGTGTTATGATCTGGCAAAAAAAAAAAATTTTTTTTTTGTCTACGTTTTGCTCATGTCCTGAGATTTTGTGAGATACTGCAATGAAAGGCAGTGGGCTAATTAATCTGGCAGAGGAAATTTCAAGGCAGCCCAACAGTCAGGCTGTGACAGAGCTCCTGTTGGGGACTTTAGTAAGCTCTACATTGAGAATTGAGAGCAAACAGCCCAGTTGAGTAGTGGTGAAAGTTTTGAATTTCACTAGAAAGGAAGCTCCTGTAAAGCTGGGGCCTGTAAAGTTGAAGGAGAGGAGAGGTTAACTGCTGAAAAGATTAGAATTAAAAAGAAGCCAGGTACTTTGAATCAGTACAATAGGAAAGGCGCCTTGAGGGCATCAGGGGAAACAGCAAGACCCTGGCCATCAGCCTACCAAAGTGAAAAATTGGTTTCAGAAGGGACCCCAAGGGCACTGCGTTGCAGAAGGACTGATAGGGAATTTGTCCCTCAGGATTTGGTTCCTAGTGCTTGGCCAGCCATCCAGGCACTCAGAGACATCTGCAGCCATGATCCGAAGGGGCCCAGCTACTATACAAGAGGGCAGCACACCTTGGCATTGTGCATATGGTGCTGGTTTTATGGGCATGCAGAAAGCAAGGGATGTGGGGTTCCACCCAGATTTCAGAAGAAGCGTGGGAGGCCAGGCAGTGTCCTTCTGATAGGGCAGTAGGAGA